CCAACAATCAATCTCCTCATTCGCAATAAACGAACAATCCATAATATGCCTCCCCGGAATGAAGGCGAATTGGGGAGGGCCAACAACTGCATCCATACATTACCGTAATCTCCTAGATAACACCTTCGACAAAATCTTATAAAGCCCTCCGACTAGGCTAATCGGTCTAAAATCCTCAATACTTTCTTTTGATAATCCCTTGCACATCAGTAACCATTGGCATCCTAGTCATATTTTCCTGCGACCAAGCAGTTTAAAGACTACAAGTAAATCCTTAGGTTATTGGTAGCTTTGGCACATGTGAACATGATTGCTACTATTAAAAAAGAAGATCGTTTAAAAGAGAACTAAGTTATCATGTTTCTATAACTTACCAAACCAAGATATCGAATATTTGGTTCGCGAACAGCGATAAATTTTCCAAGAAGGGCAACACATTGAGACATCATCTCCTTTTCAGCATCAAGATACATGTAAGGAGAGAAAATGCACAATACAACTTAAAAAGCAACTTTCTAACATGCATGCTAATTTAGAACAGTTACATATGTACATGGTTGTATCCTATATGACACTCTAAGAGGGACCAGGAGAGTGGAGTAAATAACATTGATCAAATCATTAAAATATGTCAGAAAGAGGCAAGAAAGCAGATAGATTTCCACTTTAAAACCAGTATGCTTTCTCCCTTGTGCAAGTGCAGAGTGAGGGGTGTTATTGTCAATACAAAATACTTCTATTACATTCTTAAATGTGAGCAGAATATGCATGTGTGGATTCTAAAAAGCAAAGAATGATAGTCGGGCAATGAAGTTGATAATAAGCTTTACACGCCAAAACCAGAACTCGTAGCAAACTCACAAGTGCAAGGGCTTCAAAGAGGACAGCGTGCGATGCATTATTCTTATTAACGCTTTTCACAACATCGGTTCCCATTAATATCCTTTGTAAGACCTGAAATCAGCATGCAAAGTTCCATCAGTATCAAACTAATATTTAAAAAATCAAGAGATGAATTCTATGGGAAAGTTAAAACCTCAGACAATGTTCTCCGTGTAGAAGGATCTTCAATGGTAGGAAAATACTGGAGAGCCGTCATCGTCTTAACCTGTTAATGTTAAAAGAGAAAATAATAAACATCAGATCAGCTTTACCAAAGAGTTGATAACTACTAAAACCGAAGTCATCCACCCCCAAGAAGAGATAGGAAAAGAAACAAGGAAAACAATTACCAAGAAGCCTAGTGCAAACAATCTACAAAGTAATCAGACCAGGTACATAACATTTTTCCAAGCTTGGGATTGAATTTATAGAGGACTGAAACAGAAGTACAAACCTGAAGCCAGGGAGATGGGATACCATAGTAAGTGTATTCCTGAGGAACATCTTGGTTCCTTGCAAGGCGTTCCAATATCTTAACACATTTTGGAAGGCAAGACCAATATGCTTCATGATTATTTGATACCAAAGAAACAAGAAGGCTCATAAAAGATGTCAAAACACCAAGATCACGCTCATCTAAAAGTTGCGCTATTCGATCCACCCTAAACATAGTGCAATTAAATAAATTCAGAATAAGCACAAGTAGTATAATAAAGCATCCACTTGGGGTAAAGTTTTAACATTCTAGCATACCAGCCATCAACATTGACAACATCAGGTTTTTCCTATACAGTCGTAGCAAACATAATGCAGCTTTTTCTCTTACAAGTGGTCTGCAGCTGCTAGAAAGCTGGAATAACAGATTTCATCAGTGAATTATTTTCTAAAAGAAGCACTTGAACTTAAGAAGTTTCTGGTCTCTTACAAGTAACTTTTGAACATAAGGTGCAAAAGATTCAGCAAATTCACTCCCGCCAATATTCCCAACCTACAGAATTAATTCAGGATAAGAGTAGATATAAAAATATAGGAAAAATGGTATAAAAGTAACAATATGAAAAATACAAGGTGCATGTAATGATAAGAACCACTGCCGCAGACCCAAGAACAATGAAATACAATGTAAATTATAAAGTGATAAATAATATTTAGAGAAGTGAAAAAAAAACTTCTCTTGAGAGGAGAAAAATGTCTTGGACTAAATCCTGCTCCGAACCTTTTGTATGCATCCTTGTTAAGTATGTAGTAAGGTAGCTATTTGATGGTGTCAATCAGAAATAATTCCTCCCCATTCTAATTACAAGGAACATCTAGAACCACGAGCAAGTTTTTCAGCCTTACCATGGTAAGAGCAAGGCACTGAAAAGTCTCATTTCGACTGATTATAGCATTACGTACAGTGTTGATTGCTAGTCTCAGAAAATCATGATTTTCATTGAGTAAACAAGAAGTCCCAATGTATCCAACCTGTGATCAATTATGGGAGAACAAAAAAATGGAAACATGCAGATTTCAGTATCAAGCATAGAGTGTATGATAATTAATTAATTACACAAGCTTCCATAATAAATCTATAAGAGATTCCCATTAAAACATTTTCAGAGATTAGGATAAAATTATATGACGGTTAAAATTGGTTATTATACTGCTTCAACAGTAGAAAAAAGTTTTCAGCTTTATTTTTGGAGACACATAACATGTAACAGTAATTGTCATATACATGAAACAGAAAACTTTCATGGTAGTGCATATCCTAACGAGTGACACAGAGATCAGACGTCATAACATGCTATCCTCTTAGCTCTTTATGCACTCAAGTTTTATTGATTTATTCTTTCTTGGGAGTTGGGAAATAAGGAATGGTTATAGCTACTTCAGACCTTGGTTACAACTCTTTTCTCATTTCATCTTCTTTCCCACTCTTGAACAGGATGTCATTACTACAGCATGGATCCACTATGTCTTCTCCTACATTTAATCCCACAAATGTGCCTCTAATTGTATTAAAGGGAAAATGAAAAGGATTTTACCTGCTTTTCTGGATATTTTGGTGCAGATATCAAGGACACAGTTTCCATATGACCACAATCAACATCATAGCCCAGCATGTATCAAGGATATTCTTCTCATATGGTGTCAGTCCCTGAAGAATATGAACTTTCAATAAGAAACTTCTCACTCGTCTTCTTAATCACTACAAAAACCTTGTCCAAACAAGCTACTAAAAGGTTCTGTTTAAATGTTCCAAGAGGGGATGGCCAGTGTTTGGCCAAATTTGGCTCTAGGAATTGAATGTCGAGCCAAAACTTCTCCTAGATAAAGTTAACTACTAAAAAAAACGACGCTACATTCTTGAAGCTGAACAACAGTCTGAAATTCACAAAACAGCCCTTAAATAAATAAATATATGGATTCTTGTATAAGGGAATGAACCTGGCATTCTAGCATGTTTGAAGCTGGAAAAGATGCTCATTATGAAAGAACACAAATGCAGTTTTGGTTTCTTACTGACTATAGTTTATTTGTATGAACCTTTATGAGAATCAAAGACAATAAACAAATATGAAGATGCAAAGTTTGTGTAAATAAAATTCCCCAACAAATATGAAGTTGGTACCTGGTACACAACTTCTTGTGAGGGAAACATTAATTAGATTAAGAACCTTAGTCCTGTCCCTTTCAACGTATAGAACATGAAAGGTGAATGTAGAAAAAAGCCAAATAAGGACCACCAACAAGTGTGCTCACAGGGTGAGGTTAGAAGAGATAGAGAGGAAAATAAACAGTAATTCTAACATCAAACCAAATCAAAGCTTGAAGGACTTCTACTAACTATTAGTAAACAGCAGTATTTATAAAATCCAAATGAAATTATATTTGCAATTTGAATATGACAAGGGATTGACAAGTTCATCACTTTATTTAAATGCGTCTTTACAAGTTAGAACCCTCACTAATACGATATTGAAGTTTTAAAAACAAGCTTTTTAAACATGGTTCTGCATTATACAATCAATATCAACTTCCAGGCCTTCACTGCAAAACTGGTGAGAACTGACTCTGGAAAAAGAGTCGTGGACCTAACAGTCATTCAGCAGCCAGATTGAGCAAGCTTATCACATGAGACCTATTTAATTGCAACTCTATATAATTTATGCTTTTACCGAAAGGAGCAGGTTTATTTGATTAGAGTACTGTTGTACTACAGTGTACATATTGTGTTGCCTACCAACTATAGGACCTTAGAAATGTGCATGTTAGGAGTTTTTAGCTGGAAGATCAAGTTGTGAGAGATTTTCATGATCGGCCAGAAAAATACTTGAGAGCATTATGAAAAATTCACTCCAGTTAAGTCTTCAAATATTTTATATATAATTCAAATATTATTCTTTTTCTTTTAAATTTATGTTTTATATATAATTCAAATATTTTTGTTTAAAATTTTATTATTTTTCTTTTAAATTTATTTAAATGAAATATTTGAGAAATTTTAATATAAAATAGTTTAAATTATTAATTAAATATTATTTGATTATGATATATAAAAAATACATTAAATAAAAATGTCAATCTTAGTTTTTTTGCTAGAATTATATAACAATATTAGGATATGCAACTTATTTTATTAAAAATAAAGATTGAATGAGGTAATTTAATTAAAATTTTGTAATCTAAATAAAAATTAAATTTAAGTTTAATGATTTAAGATATAAATTACTAAAAATTTAACATGAACCTAGCTATCTTAGTAGTTAAAAATTTAACAATATTAGGATATGCAACTTATTTTATTAAAAATAAAGATTGAATGAGGTAATTTAATTAAAATTTTGTAATCTAAATAAAAATTAAATTTAAGTTTAATGATTTAAGATATAAATTACTAAAAATTTAACATGAACCTAGCTATCTTAGTAGTTAAAAATTTAACAATATTAGGATATGCAACTTATTTTATTTTTGTAATCAAAACTTCATATGTATAATTACACAAAATTAAAATTCTTATGTTATATTGCGTATTTAATCAAAATTCGTATACAGATTAATATTTATCCCTTAAAAAAATCTGAGACAAATTCTATCTTTTTATTTAAAAAAAATCCTGATAAAATAATTGACACGTCCAAGTATGAGGAGGAAAAGGAAAGAGAAATCCGAACATGAACAAGATACTGACCCTAAAACAGGGAATTCTAGTAATCCACACACACACACACACAAAGGCTTGTCATGATCAAAAGCCAAATTTATAATGGAAGGAAAGCCTTCGTTCAGTGGGAAATATTTGAACAAACCTATGTATCTAAGTCTTTCGCTCTGTTCCTTTAACTGGCTGTCATTTTGATTGTTAAGACCAATTCCGCTGGCGGTGTCTCTCATTCAATAAGCGGCCTGCCACAGACGCGAATATTGCTCTGCTCTATTGTACACCACTCCATCTGGCCCAGTCGACGAATTGCATCCCACCGTAAATGTTATTGGCAAACCGGACACCTACTGTGAAGGCCATGGCAAGCAGTGGAACCTGCTTTGCGGCCGGTGATGCTTCCACCAGACGCTCTAATCCATTAATAATTTGATAACGGGTGTTGGAAGATACCCCCAGGAAAACACCTGATTAAGATGGCAAACCATTAGCAGGATGTAGATCAACAAATAGAACTTCCTAAGTTAACGGGTCTCTACGGTAGTTGCTAACCAAACGGTTAACTAGATTTTGTCAACCGATTTTCAAACTAAGAGTATGAATAAATGAACAATTTTCAGTTAATAATTTAAAACCCATTCAAGGCTCAAGTACTGAAGCATTCCATGAAATAGTCGTCATGATTAATGGACGATTAAGAAGTACAAGATTGAAGTTAAAAGTTGGAATGTAAATATGTTAGACGTACCCCAAAGAGCAGCACTTTTCACAAGAGGTGGCACAGGAATGTCCTCGTCTGATTTCCTTATGTTCCTGATCATTTAGAAGATTTATACAAGAAATAGTTCAAAACGAAATTAAAAAAAAAGTCAAATACTATTAAAGATTTAAAGTTTAGAGATAAATCATTAAGAATTTAAGAGATTTGCTCCATTACAAAATAGAAAAAAAGTTGAAAGAAAAAAAGAAAGAAAGAAGCAGGGGGTAATTCCTCTCAGAGAATGCAGGTGATATGATTCCTGAAATTGGTTCTCATGCTAGGAATAAGAAGATTTTGCCAGTCGCATACCAAAACATTCCAACATTATAGACGAGCAGGCAACTAGATATACAGAAATGACCCCTATAAGAGTTATGATCTCGAACAAGTGGAAAAGCCAATTAGATCTCTTGCAAACTGAATTCTGGTCCCAAATAATTTGAGAAGCACATTTTTTTTTTATAGGAATTGGTAGGCCTCGTTAAAACCCCCTTCATGATTAATGGATCACAATGTGCTCCTTAATCAGAATTGCCCGTCCAGCTCAGTTGGTAGAGCGCAAGGCTCTTAACCTTGTGGTCGTGGGATCGAGTCCCACAGTGGACAATTCATAATTGCCGGAGGTCTTCCACGGAAGTTGCTCTTAACATTGCGTTGGGGGCACCCTACCACCCTACTTCCCCCTTACCCTATTACATATGGGAATAAGGTCAGTTAATTTATCATGTGCTCCTTAATCAGCGGAAGGATGAAAAGAGAAGCACATTGAACTTTTAGCAGGAAAGAATGCCAAGAAGGATTCGAGTATAAATGGTGAACAATGAAAAGATACGAGAAGCATCGAGAGAAAATTGTACCTTTTGGCAGTCATTATCAGATTTGCAATGCCTTGGCCAACAAGACCACAGCCGAACCCTACTGAGCCATATAATACACCCTGGATCCAAGATAAACCAACAAATAAACTAACAACATAGAATGTCATTAACACCTTTTTTATAAAATGGATAAAACAAGGGATGCTACAGTAGCAGCAGAAGATACAAGTAGTAGAACTGGATGAGGAAATGCAAACTGCTTTGATCATGCAAGAAATAATAGATAACTCTGCAACAACTATCTGAGGGCTAAACTAAATGCAACATCATATTTAATCAGAACATGAAGCAACATGACCTCCCTGGTTTGACATTTCCTCTAAAAGTCCTTCATTACTCAGTGGTACCTTATAAAAATATGTAGCAATCCGCTGTTTCACTGAAAATTTACAGCCTGGTCTTTCGGCTTCAAAAACACTGCAAGAGTAGAATTGTTCACATTGAGTTAAGTTTTTCAATATTTTTTTGATTAGTTAAATCCGCGTAAAGTACAAAAAATGGAATAGAGAGGAGAGGAGTAAAATGAAATTTTATGTTTTATCCAATGAATAAATTGCTATAGAATCTACTCTAGTATCAAACAGTGAGAATGTCTACCAATGAAGAACAAACTCAAAGGAATGCTTGAAATTCAACTATCAAAATATGTGCTCAAAAGTTCATATGACATAAGCTATTGATATGTTACAAAGACCTGCTAGGAAGAGAAGCAGTAGCATGCTGTAAGCTACCAAATAATCCTCTGGATGCAGATGGTTGACCAAAACGAGCATACGGTGCTAACATACCAACCAAAGCAATGTCAACCACTATACCGACCAAAAGGTCAGCAAGGAACAACTCAAACTCTGCCCAAAAATCCTTTCCCCTTTTCTGTATTTCCGCAAATGTTGCACAGCAAGAATCAATTACTATCTGCATCATGATACATAAAAAACGTAAGGAAAAATCAAGTGGAAAACTTAAGGACAGTGAAATACTCAGCATAAACTGTAATAAACAAAGAACCACATGTACATGTTGCTAAATTATAGCTAAGCTTATCAGGCTAAGCATAATGATGAGACAGCAACCAAAGCCATATAGTTAATGTTAACGGTCACTTGGTCAGTACATTGATAATTATATAACATGGGTTCATACAGATAACTTTCAGAAATCGCTAACATTCATCTAATCGTGTGAAATAAACATAAAAACTACACACAAACCTCTGTTCCAACTTTAAAAAGAAATGAAGGATCTGCTAGCATTCGATTCCGGAGCAAAGAACAGTATTTAATTAAAAAGCCAAGTGGCCAAACCGTTCCCTGTCAATTTAAAAGGTAAAAAGTGAGCATAAAGCAGCCTGTTCATAAAAATAGATCAAAATCAAAGAACAGAGAAAAAGAAGGAAACTAACAAGAACCACCACATTCTAAGCCAAATTTTATCCTTGATTCGTATTAATTTTAAATTGAACTAAACCAAAATTTAAAGTACTTCTTGCTCCTAAGAATACTGCTATTCGTGAATAAATACCATGATAAGTAATTGTACTATTCTTCAATCTCAAATGAAGCCAATTGCTCTATTTAGTTCCTTATGTAATCGAGTGTAACTGTGTAAGCAATTAGTTTATCTATATTTCTTAAAGACAATGACTCCCACTTCTGTTTCAGTTTATTTTATATCCATTTTCTAAACAACTAGACAAAATCAACGAAAAAAGAAAAAAGAAAAAGTTAAAGACGTTAAAACCCGACCTGTAAATCCAAGTAACGAAGAAGGAATAATTTCCGTAAACCATTACTTTTCGCAGCTTCCAGCATATCCGAAGGCAGCTCCACTCCTCTTGCTTTCGCTTCCTTCATCACATCCTCAAACTTCAATATTGGCCCAAACTCGCTTTCATCTTCATTGCCACCTTCACCGCTGTCTCCGCCACCAAATGATCCGCCGCCTTCATTTCCTCCACCACCACCGCCGCCGCCGAAGTCATTCTTTTGTTGATCACCGTTTCCGATCTCCAAAACCCTAGACTCATCATCAAAATTTCCTTTTACCCCTTCTAATGAACTACTAGTGTTCCCCGCGGAATCCGGCCTAACGCAGTGAATCGCAACCGCGCGATTCGTGAAAGTCAGACGGTGCGTATAAACTGATGCTGGTGAAGTTAGTTTAGAGCGAGATGCGGTATTATTAAGCTCTTTAAAACAAACGAAAGTTCTAGTTCCGATCTCCTTGATCGTCGCTAAATCGTTACCGGGAAAAATAGAGAGTTTGGAGGTTGCGACCGATGATATTGACATTTTCTGAAATCTGGAAATATAGAGTCGAACGACGGCGGGGAAGCTAAAATTGGAAGGGACAGATTCAAAGGATAATTAAAGGCCTTGTGGAGTTTTTATGTTTGGTTTAGAGCTTCGAAGTGAGGAGAGGGAGTGATGGAGCTATGCTTATATACTACGCGTGGCAAAATATGATTTTGACTTGGCAGAAAAGGGGGAAAAATATAATCGTCGCCTGAGAGATTCGAACTCTCGCGGGTGAAACCCATGTACTTAGCAGGCACACGCCTTAACCACTCGGCCAAAGCGACCCTTGATAATATGCTCTCCTTGAATATTAATTTTTTTACAAAACATGATTTTATTAAGAAATAGGGCAAAGCTTCTATTATTGATAGTGATTTCTAAAAAACTAAATTCATAACCTTGTGGTCGTGGGATCGAGTCTCATGGTGGACAATTCATAATTCTGACTGCCAGAGGTCTCCCACGGAAGCTGCTCTCAACTTAGCGTTAGGAGCAGCCTACTATTCTACCTCCCCTTACCCCCATTACATATGGGAATATGGTCAGTTAAAAAAATTAAATTCAACATTTTAAAATTAATTACAAAAAATCAAATTTTACATATATTACATTACATATTCAATTGTGATATATATATATAGTTGTTAAAAAGTTTAAAGGCTTATTTTATCTTGTCTTTATTTTTTAATTGTATTAGTTTTGTTATTAAATTTTTTTGACTGAATTGATTTTATCTTTTGATTGATACTGATCGTTAAAATATTAATGTGATAATTTATTGTGTTGACGTAATAGTTCATGTATTAATGATAATGTGATAAAATGACTAAATTAATATTTTAACCATGTTCGATGACATAATTAACTTTTGATTGAGCTCGATGGTATAATTGAGTTTTTGGTCTAGTTTGAGTTCATACTTTATTTTCATTAAAAGTTCAATCATTTATTTAATTTTTAAATAAAAATAATTAATAAAATACTAAAAAATTAAAATATTCATAAAAATTACTTAAAATAAAAACACTATAAGAATTTTAAAAATAAAATTATAATTTAAAAATATTTATAAAATATTAAAGAAATTAAATATTTTCATCTGGAAAACATTATTCATTTATCGCCTAAATTCATTATAAGAAAAGCTTAGTCCCCAACTCTCTGCTATAAATACCCTCGAACGCTTAGTCCCTAACCACACAACAATCAGCTTTCCATTGTTTGTTTTCTTCTGTTTATCCAATATGGCTAGCTCCATGTCCCTTAAGCTTGCATGTGTTCTGGTACTGTGCTTGGCCGTGGCTGCACCCCAGGCTCAAGGGACAATCACTTGTGGCCAGGTCGTATCGTCCCTGGCACACTGCATTGTTTATGTACGAAACCACTGCGCTGGTGGTGGTGTGCCTGCAACATGTTGTAACGGGATCAAATATCTCAGCACCGCCTCCCAATCAACACCGGACCGCCAATCGGCTTGCAACTGCATCAAAGGAGTGGTTGCCGGCATTCCTGGCATCAACTATGGCCTTACCAACAAGCTCCCAGGCATGTACGGGGTGAACATCCTGTACAAGATCAGCCCCTCCTCCGACTGCAAAAGGTCTTATAACATCAATTAGCTAGTATCACTGCCAATGCTTAATCTGTTAATTGATTAACCGATGTGTTTTTTCTGTTGTTGCATGCAGCATCAAGTGAAGTTAGCCATGGAAGTTGGTCAGCAAATTGAAGGGAAATAATAGTAACTACATAATAAAAATGGATGTTGAAAACCGTAGGAATACCATATCCCAAGTCATAATAAAAGCTCAGACTTTTGTATGAGATTTAAATTTCTACGATCACGTCTTAGAACCATTATATCTTCGTCTAATTATTCATCAATCTCTATTGATGCTCTTTTATTGCTTGAATGAGATGAGATTAAACAATTCTCAGCTTTCAAGATACTATACTATACACCTGCATTGTTTTTTCTACACACCTTTTTAATATATTTTGTTTTTATTTAAATATTAATTACTCGAACTAAGCGATCTCAATGGTTGAAGGAATAATTATTATCCCTAGAGATTCCGGGTTTGAGTACCAGTGACTGCAACAGGATATTTGAACGTTCATTATTAAATGATTGAGTCTTTAAAACATATACTACCACTTGTAATCACCTTATATTAATAAAAAATAAATAATTAATTATAACATTGTAATGAAATAAATAAATAAAACTAAATAAATAAAGACAATCAAACATAAGGAATTATTAAATATATAAAAAATATGAAATATACTAAAAATTTAAAAAATGAAATCATAATTAAAAATACTCAAACAAAATCACGCATGTCTTTTTTTTAAAAAAAATAAGAAAATGAAATCATAATTAAAAATAGTCAACAAAGTCACTTATATTTTTCTAATAAATTGAGATGAGTATAAAATAATTTAAAACTTTAATTAATAGACAATGTATACATAATTTATAAATATAATTACTTAAATTTAATATTTCTAAAAAATAATATTTACTTTTACATTAAAATCACTTGGTAAATTTTTAAAATTACGTATTTCTTATTTATAATATAAAAGATATATATATATATATATATATATATATATATATATATATATTACCTTTTATTCAACTGATCCATTTCTAGTATATTAGATTAATTTACAAAATGGTTTTCAAATTAATTTGGAGTTATATATTACCTAAATAATCAATAGTAAATATAATAAAAGCTTATCATTTTAAAATAAGATATTTTATAAAATTATAATTATAAATGTAATAATAATTAAAAGTAACATAAAATAAAAATAAATAAGAACATATTATTATAGATTGAAGCTTTTTATATTATCTCACCATAGCTAAAATTGATCTTTTATCTTTCTTTAATGAATTGTCATTAAAGAAAGATAAAAGATCAATTTTAGCTATGGTGAGATAATATAATATAAAATTGATATAAATAGTCCTTACTTTTTGAGGAATTTACAACTGATTAATATTAACAATCTCATTTTTTAATTGTCATGTGATTAAAAAATACATAACTGATCGATATTATTGATGCCTTAATTTTAATTTATATACTTTTAACACTTTGAATTCAATGATAATATTTTCATGGGTAAAGTACACAAATGGTCCTCCGATTATAGTGTAATGCTTTGTCGAGTCTCTTAACTATTAAAAGTTATAAAATGATCTTCTGACTATAGAATATTGCTTTGTTGAGTCCCCGACTATTAAAAGTTACAAAATGGTCACTCGAATATTCATATATTTCAAACTCATCATTTTTCGTTAAAAATTGATGGTCGTCTATGCAGGACATTAACCTGCTGATTGGAATATGATAAAATCAATGTATATTGGTATCATCGTTACTTTTAAGCATTTGTTCAACGACATAATGTTTCAAGTACTAGCTAGACAACATAATGTAAATATAGACTTGATCCACAAAATACAACTCAAAAAGTTATAAGATCGGATTTTATCATCTCCTGGTGAGCAAGTTAATGTCCAACTCAAACAATCATCAATTCTTTTAACAGAAAATGATGAGTTTGGAACATATGAATAGTAAGGTGACTATTTTATAACTATTAATAGTCGGGAGACTCAACGAAGCAACACCTTACAATCGAAAGATCATTTGTAACTTTCAATAATCAAAGGATGCAACAAATCATCATCCTATAGTCCCGAGATCATTTGCATACTTGTTACCCTATTTTTATTCATGTGTGTTTTATAAGAGTTTCATTCACTTGCAGACATTTAGTTATTATTAAATTTTTTGAATTCTTTATATTTTATATAATTTTTTATATATAATAATAATTGATATTATAATTTATTTAAATAATTATTTTAAAAAAATTTAAATGTCAAATTAATAATGCTTGAAAACCCACACTAACTTGCCTTAAACACATATATGAAGCTCTACCTACTTTATAAAATTAATGGAAATATTATCATATTATTTAGTATCATTTTTTTATTAATCCAGGACGATTACAAGTGATGGTATATGTTCTAGAGATTTTTAATCATTTGACAATGAATACTTAAATACGCTAAAGTCATTAGTTCTCGAACTCATGACCTTTACAAATAATAACTATTTTGAAATAACTTGATTCGTGCTATTTAGTATATTTTTATAACTTAATAACACTAAAATTCATATAAAATTTCATACACAGGGACTGAGTTATCCTTTAGCTTGGGGAAGGGTAGTTACCCTTTATTTTTTAATATATAGATATATATATATATAAAGGGATATATAGATAACTAAAATCTTGTTTTTATTGTTAATTATATTTTGTTCCCTGAGATGATATTGACTTGTCCCTGATTATAGATAAAATTACCACACCCAAAAAAAAAAAAACTCAACATACATATACAACATATAAAGCATCACATTTGATAGTGGAGAGTGATTGTTCAAATGCGGTTGAGTGGATTCAATCCTCAAAGACATCCCCTGTGACCTTTTCCCATCTAATCCAACAAATCTCCGCTGCGGTGCTAAGAAATAACATCTCGATAAGCCTGGTCCCTAGATGCTGTAATCTGGAGGCCGACCATTTAGCAAAGAGGACATTAATGAGGGAAGTTTCTCCTGTGCCTATCGAGCCCCATAACTATCTCGGTTCATTGAATTCTTTTGACTGTAACTTTGGTGGTTTCTGCGTTGTTTTATTTTGCTGTGAGATATGTCTTTGTCTGTCTCTGTTTTGTTGTTTGTTCGATGTTGTATCTTGCTGAAATGTGAGTGCTTGGCTAAGGCCCTGGTTTTTCAGGTGGTTTGTATTGTCGTTAGTTGGGGCTGTTGTTTTTAGCTTGTTCTTTTGTTATGTTTTGTGACATATTGTTATCTGGGAGCTTGCACTTTATCAATAACAGTTTTGGGCACTTTTTTTTCCTTTCGCTGTTGGATATGAACTTTGAGATAAGTTTTTAACGAGACCCCATTTTCTTTTAAAGAAAAAAAGCATCACATTCATAAATTTTAGTGAGCATTTCAAAAGAAACGTGTATTAATTCAACATACAATAACAAAACAAGCTCCTTTCCTTTTGTCAAAAAGATCTGAGAAAGTTTTCAAAATCTCAAACTCTTCATGTAGCTTCATTCCACTTCAAAAAAGATGGTGAGATTGTTTTGAAGTTCATGAAATGAGGTGGTGATTCTTACCTTATGGATGATTAGAATGACAAAGTTTGTTCCTCCAATGGCCACACGCTAGGGTTTGAAAGGAGGAAGATAAGAGAAAGAGATGACAGAAGAAGTGCAAATCTGTTTCCAAAACAACGGTTAATTATCTTTTCGGTTCTCCCTTATGTATTCTCTATTAAAAAAAATCCCATTTTTACTCTCAATTAGGTCCATTTGTCATCAAATTAAATCCAAACCATCAGAAGATTGAGTATTCATCACCAATGAATCTAATTTCACTCACAACCTAATTCGTCCATGACTTGGTTCAACGTATGAGCATTGATTCTAGAATTCAAGTTGTTACAAAGTTGTTAGTTTTTGTCTATTTTTCTTAATTTTGTATTCTATTTCGTTGGACCATCACTTTGATGACGGATGGAAGAAGTTTGATAGATCTTTCTTTTGTATTTTACATTTTATAATATGAATATGTTTTTACTTCGCCTATATGAATGCCATGAATGTTTGCTTTATCTTTTCACTCCTATTTTATTAAAGTTTAATTTTTTTTAATTTAATCACTTAACTTTCAAATTAATCCTAGTTTAATCACTCTAACTTATTTTATTAATATTTTCTACAATATAACATCTTTTAATTATTATTTTATTAATATACAATTAAAATAAGAGGGAAGGCCCGAGTTGGGGAGGCTGTGAGGGTGGGTGAGCTATTTGTGATTTTGGGTTTATAGTATAATTTTAAATTTAATTTTTTATTTTAAATATATACGAGTAAAATAATAATAAAAGTATCACATAAAATATTAATAAAATAAATTATAGTGATTAAAACAAAAGCATTTTGAAAGTTAAGTAGTTAAATTAAAAATAAATAAATTTTAGAGACCAAATTAGGAGTAAGAAGATAATTAAGTGATAAATAATGTAATTTACCCATAAAATGCCAATTATGGTCGGCAAAATGGAATAAAAAATAAATATTAGGTATGATTTTGAAAAAAATAAAAATTTAGATACTGACAAAAAAACAAAAGTGATAATTGAGATATTAAACCTATAGTTTACCCTAAAAATTATATAAAGAAATGTATAATACTTGAACCCAAATTTAAATTTTATCTCATAGTTAACTATAACATTCTTACCTCGTTGGATAAATTTGGATAAACTAATAAAGAAATGTTATGAGAAAGAGGTGAAAGAAGTGTGTGATGTCATAGTGCATAAGAATTCGGGAGAGAGCAATTGGGGGAACGAAAAGAAAAGTAAAACAGCTTACATTTGCTATTGCATACAAAGATATATAACACCCCTGACGATAACTGCAGCTCAAAGCTCCACAGAAATAATCATATTACCGATACATTACCATTCCCATGTAATACCGTGCTCGTAACATAGCTGCCTGAGCTACAGTTGGCTATCGACTACCAACACAGGGAAGACAAAAAAGGCAGGATGTAAATCAACATTATGATATATTTAAACGAACGAACGAACGAACGAAAACATTTTCCAATAAGCACATTCGGCGAATCCTTCGTAGACATTTAGTCTCCTTAGTATGCACTAGGTTTAGCATTGGATTTCTTAATAGCCTCGGCATAAGTCCTGTGTTGATAGGTTAGGGTAGATTCAAGCAAGTCCCACAGGATGTCTTCGGGTTCCAACCTGATGCAGTATTAAACATAGATCCGATACTCAAAATTCTATTACGAGAGAAAAATTCCAAAGGTTGTATGAGAACAGATAAAGCACAGCAGTACCAAGTTGTTTATTTATTATGGTCATGTCTGGAGTTCTCTTGTCGCTGTCATCGTAACCCTCGCCATAAAATTCCTTGGAGCTGACATCAACTGTTGGCGACTCCAGCGAAGGTTCTCCACTAACCTTGGCATAGACCTGAAGAGCCAATAAATTACATACAACCAATGCACCACTGTAAACAAAAATAATATAATTATAGGAACCATGTGCTTCACCTTAGTCATCATCTCAGCGATGGAAAGGCCGACAATTGTACAACTAAATTTCCTTTTTGGAATAAATAAATTGATTTTTTTTAAAATTCTAAATTACCTTGTTATGTATATGTATCGGGAAATATATTCAGCCATAAATAAAAAAGATAAGTTTTTTTTAAAAAAAAATTAGAAAATAATAATCCAAATACTCTAGCTTCCGCAGCTGCTTCGTCATCCTTCAGATTTAGATGTAATACCATCTATTTGTTGTTCAAGAGCGCTCTGGCAAAGGAGGGCCGGAACTGATCCATGGATGGTTGAGGCATTGAGCTGTTGTGGGCCTGATAAGTTCGTCTCAATCAAATTTTCATTTAGAGCTAAAGAATTCAAGCTTGCATACGTACAAAGTATTCTATAGGGACATGCAAGAATATGTCTTTGTATGATTTAGTTTGATTGTATTAAACTTAGGTGATTAAGTTATATATTTATCATGAATCGTTTTTCCATTTAATCTTTATCAGATGTTCCATAAATGTGTATCATCTGTATGTGAATTAGACAATAACGATACAAGGGAAGTAGGTTTCTCTATAAAAAAAAATCTGTGCAAGTATATTTCTAATAAAAATGTATTCATCATTTCTTTTACAATTCTATTTTTCTAATTATGTCCTTTTTGTTATGAAGTGTAAAAGATTGAAAATTCATAAATAATATATTTTCCTCTTTAAAGATATTAGTAATATATTATCTACTCTTATCAAATCTAATTCAATCCTTTTCTTCAGATTAGCTTTCTACTCATGCTGTATGAAGTTTCATCTTTTGATTTAGGAGATAAACTTGAAAAAGAATTAGAGTAATTATTGCAGTAACTTTTTTCACTTTTACCCATTTTGCTAGATGTGTGCATTGCCTTTAAAAGCACAATTTGTCTGGCAGCATCTGGTTTGGAAAAACGGAGTAGCATGTTTTGTCTCAATACATTTCACATTTATTTAACCTGTTTCCATTTATTAAAACAATTTTCCTAAACTTATTAAAACAATTTTCTTACTTTTATTTTTTAAAAGGTTCAGGAATAGTTAACTAATGTTAAGATAAAATTTAAATATTATTATTAAAAAGTACTTACTTTAAAATTTAATTTTTTTATATACTTTTGTTTAAAGCTGATGTCATCCATTTTAAATTATAGAGAGTTTCTTTTTAATCTCTCTAGAAAACAAGTTTGGGTGATTTTTCAAAGATTATAATCAGATGTGAAAAATGTTAAATCTGACCAGCGAACACTTTTCTGAATAGCTAAAGTAAAAAAGAAATATATACTAACAAGGAATTAAATTAAAGTAAGGTTAGAAACTTTGGTCATTGAGAATATTATTATGTATAATTACTATTTGCATCTTTATACGTTGCTTGATATACGCTCCGAACTTTTCATTTTTAATGCTTTGTTTCCCTTCATTAATGTTTTAAATGCCAAATAATTACCCAACAATTTAATTATTATCTATCAGGCACCGATGACCCTAATTTTCTTTTTATGACAGCATGGCAAAAAGGTGTGAATCATCATCCGTGCCTTCCTGGGATTCATTCGAGCTGGCGCCACGTAGGGTAAAACGCGGATCACCACCCGCGTCTTCCTGGGGTTCTGACACTCGGGGAAGGCACAGATGTTTCCTTGAATTATTGGGTACTCCATCATTACCTAAACCCTGCGAATCACTCACTCCTCCCATATAAATAACATTGTTAATAAACATAAAACCACACCAAAATTTAATTTCATATTCTTCCTTCTATAATTCTCCTCTATCAAGTTAAGTAGATCTTGTTATAGTTCTTAGAAGACAAAATTAATATTTATTATATTATTGTCATTTTAAATTTAATTATTGGATTAAATTTTTTGTACTAATGATTTTGTTTTATTTTGTGCGGGTATAAAATAGATTGCGAGATCAAATCTCTAGGCATTTTCCCGAGACGGTAACAATGTTAGATTGTGTTATTAAATTTACTGTTAATTTTTTAAATGTTTTAGCATTAGTTTATTTTTAAGTTCGTATATTATTTATTTAATTAGACATATTTAATTTATTATTTTTGTAGATATAAAACTCTCAATCTTTCAAACTTTCAAACTCTAAAAATGAGACGTATTTCAACTATTGTTTACTATGATTTAGAAATTAGGGAAGATAAAATAGGCGTTGTATTCGCATCAAATCATTCTGTCAGAATATCTTTCAAGAGAAACATCACTCTTAAGGAGCTGATCATTAAAATTTCAAGGAATGTTCATGTTGGAAGTACTAGAAGACTGTCCTCACTTCAGTACAGATTTTCAACAGTAGTATTTCCATTAACTTATACAGTGTTCGAACTCTCCAACGATGACAATGCTGCTATGATGGTTGATTCTCATAATCAAATTTCAGACGCCAATACACAAATATATGAGACATTGTTGAAGTGTCTACGGTTAGTGGCATGTCATTATGCTCCAGCTGTGGACTAGCTCAACAAGCTGATCAAGTTGACATCCCAACTACGGTAATGTGTAATGATTTTATCACCATAATGAAAAATCCACATGATGGTACCATCCAATCAAGTTCAATGGGGAGACATTCATCAACAACTTGTTACGATGTCTATCGAGATGGCTTCACGAACAATCTGTATGTCAACGTCACTTCCAGTTCAAGGGGGAAGGCATTCATCTGCCAATTTCTTTGACTTGAATATGGGGATGCCATTGACTCAACCATTTGTTCAGTTCCCATTTAACATGATGCCTTCATGTTCCAGGGGATACATTCAACTGCGAATTTCTTCGACCTCAATGTTGAGATGTCTACGACATAACACTCAGTCCAAAACCCATATGACACGATGCCTTCAAGTTCAAGGGGAAGACATTCAACATGAACTCCGATGATGATGATGATGATGTAGATTAAGTTCCCACAACTACAGTACACACCGAACCTCCAGCACACATGTATGAAGCTGACTATGGTGCAATGTACGGGCCAAAATTTACGGATATGCCTAATGTTGGTGATAAAAAATTAACTCATCAATCAATGATGTTGAGTTATATATCGGAATGGAGTTTTCATTGAAAGAAGAAGCGATGATAGCTATTAAGAATTATAACATTCGTAATTTCGTTCACTCCAGAGTCGACCGATCCACCACTGAAAAGTATGTCGACTATTGTGTCCAACGTGATAACGGATGTAACTGGATGGTTCATGCATCAAAGATGAAGAGGAAAAATAGCATATAAGGACTAACAGAATACAAAGGTCCTCATACATATTGTGCTATAGGGATCAACCAGTACCATCTCAACTGGGTCCTCCTAGATCATCACCCACTCGTTGTGTTTCATGAGTCAGTTGACTTCTTTTCCCCTCGTCTATCGATGTTATGCAAATTTTTTGAGATTTATAGGTGCTTCTGGAATAGATTGTACGAAACCAAATTACCAGTGCACGCGATCAGTCGGATGCCACTCGACAATAACATAACATATCAGAGGGACCATTGTCATCCATACATCTAGTAAGCCACTCATATTAGGTGGGATACAATGTCTCATTTCGTTAGTAGCATAAGGAGTCCATTAAAACTACAACAAATATATATAATTTTTTTCAAAATAATTTTTTAATTATATAACGATAATTAAAGGTAAATAAAAAAATTAAATACATCCCTGTGTACTAGTTTTTTGATCAATGAGTAGTCAAATTTCTTCTAATTCGTCTGATATATCACGATGATCTTTCCTTACACATGACCACATATTCAGTGTAAAAAAATATTCATTATATACTCAAAAATTTATTTATATATGAACTCAGTATTGAATTACCTCAACAATAACAGGAAGACTAACATATTCTTCACTACCGGACACAAAAAAGGTATGTGATACCACGCCCATGACTGCAGAAGCAAGAGACATCCGCCAATATCATTTTTCAAATAATCAGTTGCTCGACACATTTCTTTATACAGAGATGCCAAAACTGCATAGCCCCAAATGAATGACCCGACAACTCAAAAATCGGCTAGGTGACGCAACCACATACAATGAACTTGGTTATGAGATTTATCGGGCATCAAGATCCCTCCTATCATTCGTAATATACAAGCCCGAGTAACTTTTAGCCTGTTTCTCGGAACAGTCTTCACTCAAATGTTCAACATATATCGTCAACCATGATAGTGGTATTTGACCACCATTGAAATTAGGTGGGATACCTCCAAGATACTCATTGCACAACGAATGTCAGTCACTATCCGCCACATCCGAAATGACATCCCCATCTATCGATAGCCCCAGATATAAGGAAATGTCCTCCAGCGTAATCGTACACTCCCCATACAGAAGATGAAACGTGTGTGTCTCCGATCTCCACCTCTCGACCAGTGCATAAATAAGATTGCTTTTAAGGTTACAATGCCCTTCATATCTAGCTATGTAACTGAATTCTGCCTCCACTAAGTACGACCAAATGTGACTTGGTATCTCTAACTTAGCATTACGAATAAATGGGTCTAATATACGATCATTCTCCTCATTAAATAAATAGTATACAAATTAAAATATAAACTAATACTAAATAAATAAATAAAATATTAGCACTAATTAACATAACAAAATAATAAAACTAATACAAATTAAATAAATTGTTACTGTATCGGCAAAATGACTCGCGATATGATTCTCATCTAAACGCAACAATCTGCATTCTATTTTATAACAGCAAAACATAAAAAAATTAGGCAGTAAAATATAATAAAATAATTAATTATTTAATGATTATAATATAATAACAATAATTTTACCTTATAAGAATAATAACAGAGCCTACTTGAGCTTTGTTAGAATGAGTGATAAGAAGAGACTATTTTCGCTTTGGTGTGATTTGAGGGTTGTATGAGAGGGTATTTATAGGGGAGGGGAGGGGGTAATTAAGGCGGACGGTTGGGGATAATTTTGGTAGACGCTAATTGTGAATC